AAAAAAAAAAAAAAAAAAAAAAAAAAAAAAAAAAAAAAAAAAAAAAAAAAAAAAAAAAAAAAAAAAGGGAAAAGGAAAAGAAAAGAAAAGGAAAAGAAAAGAAAAGAAAAGGGAATGAATATCCACCAGACAGGCCGTTGAGGGCCAACCGGTTGGGGGGTCCGCAGCGGGCTGCCTGAATGCCTGGACAGAGTGGCTCCCAGGCTGCCTGAATACCTCGGGCCAATTCAACCAAGGTCGTTCTGGATCTCTTCCGCTTTCTCGTATCTCTGACTATGAAGTAGGCGGCTGTACTCCAAGTACACAGTACTATTTTTATTTTTCTGACTGTTATCATCGTTATTATTAATATTACTGACTCCTTCGCCTCCTCCTTCCCTCTTCTCTTATTCTCGATCATTCGATGTGTGCTTACTAGTACCATCGACCGGCTCTGACTGTGATGTCTCCAGTGGGAGCTGCCCTCTGGCGTTCCCTTCGCGCCCATCAGGTTTACGGCGCCAACACGGATGTGGGCAAAACAATTGTCTCGACCGTTCTCTGTAACGCGGTCCAGCGCCAAAAGTCCCAGGATCAGGCGGCCTTTCTCAAACCCGTCTCGACGGGGCCATTGGATGACGCAGATGACCGGTGCGTGGGCTGAATCCGTCTTGCCAACCCACTAGTTCATCGGTCTAGTTACACATATACTGATCCATGATCTTAGACATATCCAACGCCATGCTGCGGGTACGTTGACTAAATGTCTCTACCAATTCGACGAGCCCGTCAGTCCGCATATCGCGGCTCAGCAGAAGAAATTTACTGTGCGAAAACCATTCCCTCTGACATGAAGTGCCCAAACACTAATCCTCAGCAGGTCCCTCGCGATGATGATATCTTGGCTTCTGTCCACAAAACCCTCTCTGACTGGGCGGGCAGCGGTGTCAATTTTGCCCTGGTAGAAACGGCCGGTGGTGTCCATTCCCCCGGCCCCAATGGCAATTCCCAAGCAGACCTCTATCGCCCACTGCGGTTACCTATTGTCTTAGTCGCCGATTCCCGGTTAGGTGGTATCTCTTCGTCTATCTCGGCCTACGAGTCACTTTTGCTTCGAGGCTACGATATCCACTCGGTTTTACTGTTTCGCGATGAGTACTACAAGAACCACGAATACTTACGGAACTATTTCCAGAAAAAGTCTATTCCGCTCGTTCCATTGCCGTCGCCTCCTCCGAAGCCGTCAGTGCAAGATGTAGATTCCGTGGCGCGGGACGAGGAAGCCATGACAACCTACTATGGTCGTGTTGCACAGGAAACGGATGTGGCGAGCTTATTGGAACAGCTATCTGCTAAGAACGCGGAACGGATCGACCGGCTGGAATCGATGGCCAGTCGGGCACATGACACCATCTGGTATCCATTCACGCAGCATCATGGCATGGAGGCCAAGGACATCACACCGATTGACTCTGCATATGATGACTACTTTCAAACGTTCGTGGATTCGGACAAGTCCCACCATGAAAGCAAGCTGCGCGCAACATTTGACGGGTCTGCATCCTGGTGGACGCAAGGCTTGGGTCATGGCAACCCCAGTTTAGCTTTGTCGGCTGCATATGCCGCGGGACGGTACGGACATGTAATGTTTCCAGGAAATATACATGAGCCCGCTTTGTCGCTGGCAGAACTCTTGCTCGAGAGTATTGGCAACCCGCGCCTCCGGAAGGTGTTCTACACCGATAATGGAAGCACCGGCATGGAGGTCGCTGTGAAGATGGGTCTCCGGGCGGCATGCGACCGTTACGGATGGGATGCCAGCCAGGAGCAGATCAGTATCCTCGGTCTCAAGGGAAGCTACCATGGCGACACGATCGGCGTCATGGACTGCGCAGAGCCTTCCACTTTCAACAAGAAAGTCGAATGGTATCGCGGCCGAGGATACTGGTTCGATTTCCCGCAAGTGAAAATGTCCCAAGGAATGTGGAAGGTCGAGATTCCCGAGAACCTCCGGGAATCACTGGGCTCGGGCTTCGAGTTCTCGTCCCTGGATGACATCTTTGATATGGAGGAACGGCTGCAATCGGCCGCGGGAAAGCGCTACACGGAATATATTCGCAATACTATTCAGGATCTGGTTCAGCACGAAGGGATGAAGTTTGGTTCTCTTATCATGGAGCCCATTATTCTAGGCGCTGGCGGCATGCTGTTTTGGTCAGTATCGATATGTACGGTCATGTAAGATCCCTGACTAACGGGCTTGTTTAGTGACCCTCTCTTCCAACGGTGTCTCGTCGAGGTTGTCCGCGGCTATCCTGAGCTGTTTGGCGCAAGCGGGGCTAAATCTACCAAGGATCACCCCGTGGCCACCTCCTGGTCTGGTCTCCCGGTTATCTTCGACGAGGTGTTCACTGGCCTTTACCGTCTTGGCCGTAAATCCTCGGCCTCATTCCTCCAGGTCGACTCCGACATCGCGGTGAACGCGAAACTTCTGACGGGTGGTCTTCTTCCTCTATGTACTACGATGGCCAGTGATGAAATCTTCCAGGCATTTTCGAGTCCGGAAAAGAGCGACGCTTTACTCCATGGACACAGCTACACGGCACATGCTGTGGGCTGCCAGGTGGCAGTGGATTCGCTGCAGACCATGATGCGGATGGAAAACAGTGGGTCCTGGGATGGGTACCGCCAGGACTGGACAACCTTGTCCGATACCCCAGTGACCCTGGGCGCTCGGGACAGCTCTAATATCTGGAGTGTCTGGTCTCATGGCCTCGTCAGTGATCTATCCCATGCGCCATCGGTGGATGGCGTGTTCGCCATTGGAACGGTGCTCAGCATCTCACTTAAAGACGTGCAGGGAGGAGGTAAGTCACCCCTACTGTTCCCCGTTCAGCGCGTGCCGGACTAACATGTGATGTCTCCACCGCGCCAATAGGCTACACCTCGACAGCCGCCAGAGGTTTACAGCAGCGGTTATCGACGAGTGACGGAAAGTTTAATGTGCACTCGCGTGTTCTCGGAAACGTTCTGTACCTCATGTCCAGTGTGACTTCTCAACCGCAGGCGCTACGCTCCATTGAGGGGGTGCTACGAGAGGCCCTCCTGTAGTAACAAGGCCTGTGTAAATTACCGTACCTTGGATACATGGCCGCTAACATCCCTGACCAAAAGTCAAAGGGGAGATGAGGGAGGGGGAAAAAAAAGACCCTAAATGAGATTAACGAGTTATAGCGTTTTCAGCGAACCCAATGAACCCCCCGTACGGTTTACTTTCCGAGGGGAAATTGAATTTTTCTGAGCTTATTTGTGTACGGTTAGCATCGGGTACGGAGTACTAGGCATGCCCCAGGTGAGGTCATTCTACGACGGAAAAGTATTGAACACACTCCGACGACGTACCTGGAAAGCAGGAGAATGACTAGTGAAGGGATATGTATTAGAGTAGTATTTAGACCAATCCTCCTCAGTATTATTTGAGTAACTATTATCGATTGTTGGTAATGTCATGGCAACATGGCAGTGTTGGTAATTAATTCCAGTAACTCCGTCGTTAGTGATCGGAGGGTTGGAGTGCCTGGCTAATGGGCGATCATTTTAACCTTGGAACGAGAGTGTCATCATGCTCAATGGGCTTTCCCGGTGACTCAAACCAAGTTAACCTTCTCTATGTTTGGAATTCTCCTAATCTGTTCGAGTTTTCGTTCACCGACGGCCCGAGGGCCTTAATTGTGGCAGCCTGATTGGCCCGACTGGGGCACGTGACGGCTGGCAGGCCCCGATCGAGGTCACGGGAAAGGCATTCCGAAAGATGGAAAGGGATCCTCAGGCAGCAGTGCATCTTTCCTTTCTCCCGATGATGTGATAGTAGTACCTTCGTAACTCGTCCTGTTAACCATCGTGCTCCGGCTGGTGGGGATCCTCCCACCAATACGTAACTCGCCCGCTGGATCTGCGCGTTTAATCCACAGCCTCTGTCAACGATCCATTGACCCCTCAACAGTTGGTCATTCCAGAATCCCTCCTTGGCGGGAAAGCAAAAGTGGGCATGGTCTTCAACCTTCCCCTGATCAAGGAACCACCACCGCTGGGATTGAACACTGGTGGTGACGATGCTGATTCTTCAACCGTCTACCAAAAGATTGTTTGCCCATGGGTTGAACCCCTCGTTGGGGTCAACAATCACCCCACGAATCACAGAGGGACAGGGAACTCTCTGTTCCTGAGCCACAGCTTGATTTGCTTCAGGTGGTCGCTGACTGGGTGGACGATTAGACTTTCTCCCCACTGTGAGTAATAACAGAGAGTAACAATTAACTTCACAGCTAACAAACCAATTTACTCCGGAATAACAGGACGGAGTATAGCTCTGGCCCCCGGTGAGCACGATCTGACTCCAACCTAATCTACCCCTCTCATCCGCTTTTCGTCTGTTTGGTCCTTTCCCGAGGTTGTGGTCTTTTCTTCACCGTCGCTTGGCGTCATTGGCCTTAATTCTTCTTGGGAGCTGTCATGGTGCTTTTGTGTTCCCTCTAACCTAAGTACTGCCTTTCTTCCGCTCCCATTGGACTTACATCACTCCTCTACATTACCTTCCCATCACCATGTCACTATTCCCTCGGTCCGTGCCTCGGATCATCCTACGAAGGTCCTATGGCACCGTCCAGTCCTCCCCCAGTGCGGCTTCAATTGCCAGCAGAATCCCAGTAGCCCTGCAAGAGGCAACGGCCGCAACGGTGCCCCGGACCACATGGACCCGCGAAGAGGTCCAGCAGATCTATGAGACCCCGTTGAACCAGCTGACCTACGCTGCGGTATGTGCTTTCGTTTTCCAATCTACGTCGCTTGTTATACTGTTTACTTGTGACTGTTCTTTCCATATGATACCACGATCTTGGAAGCTCGTTGACTCATCCCGAACCAGGCTGCCATTCACCGTCGATTCCATGACCCGTCCGCCATTCAGATGTGTACCTTGATGAACATTAAGACCGGAGGATGTAGTGAGGATTGTTCCTACTGTGCTCAATCCTCGCGTCACAACACCGGCTTGAAAGCAACGAAGATGAGTCCCGTGGACGATGTGCTGAAAGCCGCCCGCATTGCCAAGGCGAATGGAAGTACCCGCTTCTGCATGGGTGCGGCCTGGCGCGACATGCGCGGTCGCAAGACAAGTCTCAAGAATGTCAAGCAGATGGTGTCGGGCGTCCGGGAGATGGGTATGGAGGTCTGTGTAACCCTGGGCATGATTGACGAGAACCAAGCCAAGGAGCTGAAGGATGCCGGCTTGACGGCCTACAACCACAACCTGGACACGTCCCGGGAGTTCTACCCCACCATCATCACCACCCGATCGTACGATGAGCGCTTGAAGACCCTCTCTCATGTCCGTGACGCGGGAATCAACGTTTGCTCCGGCGGTATCCTGGGCCTCGGCGAGGCGGACTCCGACCGGATCGGTCTCATCCACACGGTTTCCTCGCTCCCTTCCCACCCGGAATCCTTCCCCGTCAACGCGCTGGTCCCCATCCCGGGCACCCCTCTGGGTGAACGCAAAATGATCTCCTTTGACAAGCTTCTCCGGACAATCGCGACGGCCCGTATCGTTCTCCCCGCCACGATCGTCCGCTTGGCTGCGGGCCGCATCTCGCTGTCCGAGGAACAGCAAGTCCAGTGCTTCATGGCCGGTGCGAACGCTGTCTTTACCGGCGAGAAGATGTTGACGACCGATTGCAATGGCTGGGATGAGGATCGCGAGATGTTTGAGCGGTGGGGCTTCTACCCCATGAAGAGTTTCGAGAAGGACGCGGACGCCGCCGTCTCGCAGGATTCCGCTCCGTCGGAAAATGTATCCGCTGCGCCGGCCGCCGCGAGTTCGTAAATAGTTTTTGTTTTAACCCCTCCCACATCTGAGATTATCAAATCACTCTCTGCGCCCTCCTCGTATGAGTCAATCCTATGAGGCATTATTATGATCCAATAGAAATCGTTCAATCGACCACTATAGATGTCTGGCCCCCTCCACCCGTAGCATTGATTCGACCCCGGGCTCTGCCCATGTCTTGGAAATCCCTTGGCAGGTATCTATGATGCGCACAGCGCTGCAATTGCTCTGCTCTGTACTATCACCCAAACAATGGCGGTTGCCTAATAGCCATCACATGAGGCAGGTGCTGTGTTTTCCCCCCACCTCCCTGGCGTACTTAAGGGCCCTGTCCTTCCGCCCTCCGCCCTGTTCTACCTCACGACACGCCCTTCCGACTCGCTCGGAGCCTGATCAATAGGGCATCCTATGCTCTCTTCGTGGCTGGTGTTACCAGATCACGATTTTGCTCAGTGACTAACATGTATCTCGAAGCGGACTAACTAGCTACTGTCGCAGATGATGCTCATGGATTTCTATTTCACTTGATATACATCACGGAAGAGGACTAAGGCTCTTCTACGCCACTCACTGTCTACCAAAGGACATCCCGATTGAACAGAGAAAACAAAGTGGTATTTATCTATAAACTATATGCTCATTAAGTATGTGCACCCAACTCATGATCACGTCTCGCAGGGATAACATTAATCATTAACGCAAGGTGATCCTGTGATAACTTTGCGATGGTCTAGTTAGGCAGACCGACAAATGAAGCTAAATGCTGGAAAATCGAAAATGGGAATCTAAACGCGCGAAGATGGATGAACGGGGTCAAAATGTGCAATGAAGTCATAGCATCGTCTGTTTAAACAACAGACGTTTCGGTCTTCAGCATACTGGTTGCTTGGGTATCGGACCGGCTCATCGTGGTGTACCGGCTGAAGTCGTTGGGGAGTCTCGTGTCAACCTCGTCCTTGTGACGGTACGCCTGGCGTCGGAAAAAGATCCGCTTGCACCACTTCCACGCCTCGACACCAATGAAGAACAGGATCGCCTCCACGAACACCACTCCCCATTCCCAGGAGATGCCGGTGTGCTTGAACACCACGTGGTTGATCACAGGGATGTACAGAATCGGGAAGGTGGTGATGAATCCGATCATGATACCGGTGAAAAGGAACTTGTTGCGCCAGACATCAAACATCCACTGCGTAAAGTATCTCTTCGAATCAGGCTGCATCCGGAAGAAACTGCGTCGCATGTCAATCTGCTCCCACGCCAGGAAGAGCGCGAACCAGGTCATGCAAACGAATGTGGTTGCACGAGCACGGAACACCGTGTCACAGTTGCCATCATAGTGGTCGCTGCCGTTGTAGCCAGTGTTGCAGCCACTTCCGAGGTCGCCATCACCCCATCCATACATCACCAGGGAGAACGATGCCAGGCACAGTGCAGCCATCCAGACGCCATATACGAGAGTGTCCACAATAACTTCCCATGTGAAGATACCTTGTTTCTATTATACGTGTTAGCAAAGTGCACAAGACCATGAGTGAAGGAAAGAGGTAAAGAAAGGGGATACATACACTCTGGGGCGGGCGGTTCATGATATCAGGTGCCGCGATCTCCATTCCCAATCCCATGTCAGGGAGACCGGAGGTGATCATAATAATCCAGAGAATTTCGACGGGTGCAATGGGAAACACGGACTGTCCGTTGACATCCTTGAAGACCAGACCAATGAGCAGAGTGAGCGCGAGTCCAACGTTTTCAGCCAACAAATGCAGGACGAATTTCTGAATGTTGTCAAAGATACGACGGCCCTCTTCAATTCCATTGATGATAGAAGCGAAATTGTCATCCATCAGAACCAATTCGGAGGCATCCTTGGCCACATCAGAACCTGCCTGTCCCATGGCAATACCGACATCAGCCCGCTTGAGAGACGGTGAGTCGTTCACACCGTCACCCGTCATTGCCGCGTACTTCCCACGACGATGCAACGCATCAATCATGCGGACCTTGGTGTGAGGCGCGCAGCGAGCAATAACCAATGGTAGAGTGGGGAGATCATCAATCTCGTCCTCAGTCAATTTGTCAAACTGACTGGCTGTCATGACCATTGCATCCGCCACATCCTTTGCAACGCTGTCCATGTTTGCAGGAATGATACCGACCTGTGCTGCGATGGCACGCGCTGTACCTGGGTGGTCACCTGTCACCATGTGCACAGAAATTCCGGCGCGGTAACATTCTTCGATGGCCCCGGCAGTCTCGGGACGAGGGGGGTCATAAAGACCAATGAGTCCGCAAAAAGTGAGGTCTTGCTCAACTTCATCTCTTGGGGGCACTTCTTCTCCGTCGGTGGGGGTCTTCTTCTCCCGGCAAGCAAGGCAAAGCACTCGGAGGCCTTCCTTGGCCAGAGCTTCCATGTTCTGCAGGATCTCTTCTTTCATGCTTGCCTCCAGAGGCACGGGGCTAGAACCAGCGGTCCAAATGACTGATGTGCAAGAGTCGACCACACGTTCGACGGCACCTTTGGTGAAAACCATCTCGCGGTCACCTTGGGCGAAAATCACCGACATTTTCTTCACGGTTGAATCGAAAGGATACTCAGCCTTCTGAGTCCAAACCGGCTTGTCGCCCTTGGTCCAACGATCACGGCCCCAGTTGAAACGAGACGCGAACACCTGGATAGCGATATCTGTGGGTTCACCACGTGCCTGCCATTCATCATTCTCCGACTTGTGAACATGAGCGAGATTGGCCATTGCCGCGACATTAAGATAGTCTTGCAGCACCTGGTTATCCTTCAGTAGATCTTGAGGGTCCCGAGGCTCTCCTTGGGTATCACGTTGGAGCTCAACCGGGGGTTGAGGTAGCAGGCTCAAGTCTCCTTCTTGGGGGTTTAAGGGATCGCTAGAGGATCCCACGGAGTATGTACCCAGTGATGGGAGCCAAGCCCTTTTGGCAACCATGCGGCCCTGAGTAAGCGTTCCGGTTTTGTCTGAGCAAATGTTAGTCACAGCGCCGAGAGCTTCCAAGGAGTCAAGCTTTCGGACAATGACATTTCTTTGTACCATCTGCTTGGTGCCTACCGCCATAGTAATAGTCAAGACCACCACTAGACAAGCAGGAATCATAGCAAGGCCAGTTGCCACAGCGTAGATGATGACTTCCTTGTCATTCCGCATCTCATTTGCCCCCATGACCACGATCGCGAAAACCACGGCAATTGCGAAGAGCAGCAAGGCCAACTTAGAAAGCTTTCTTTGTAAAGGGGTGCCGACGTTGATACCCAAGAAGCGACCGACGGCATCGGTGCAGGTCAGGGTCCAGGCTTCCACGTACCAGCGCTTCTTGGTCTCGCCCTGAGGGCCGCGCTTGACGGGCCGTCTCTTGGAATCCCCAGCGCGGAGGGCGGCCGCGATCGCACCAATTTCTGTCTTCATTCCGGTTCCAACCACAACACCGCGGGCGCGACCCCGGGTCACGGTGGACGAACTATAAGCAATATTCAGGCGATCTCCCGGTCCGGTATCCGGGTCGAACACAGAGTCAACCTCCTTTTGTACCGGCAAGGATTCACCAGTTAACAGCGCTTCATCGGTTTCGAAATTCATGGCATCAACGAGCCTACAGACGCTATTAGCTGGGAGATTTGCCATATTTCTCGCTGGTTACATACCTCAGGTCCGCGGGGACTGTGTCACCCACTTTCAGCTCGACCATATCTCCAGGGACAATCTCGATGGCCGGGATGGTATTGGTTTTGCCGTCGCGAGTCACCACACCAGTTGGGGAACTCAAGGAGCGCAGGGAATCCATGGTCTTTTCCGCTGCATAGTCTTGGTACACACCTACGATGATGTTGAGCGCGATGACGGCACTGATAACACCACCTTCGATCCACGATTGAATACCGAAACTAACCGCCATGGCAATGATGAGAACCTAATTGTTGTCCTGAATTAATCCCTTGTCCCCAAGCATGTGTATAAAAGATCCACGTACCAGCATCATTGCATTGGCAATCTGTCGAATGACAATCTTAATGAGGGAGACCCCTTCTCCGCCTTCCAGCTGATTGGGGCCATACTGACTGAGACGGTTCTTGGCGTCCGCCGTGGTGAGGCCTTCCTCCGAGTTCACTGAGAGCTCTTGGAGGATGGCTGTGTAGGAGAGGGCATGGGCAGGTTGTGATAACGGCTGAGCCGTATCAGTCTTCTTCTCGTCGTGAGACATGGTGTTGGGTGTGTCAATGTGTAGTTGTGGTTGTGTTAATGGGTTTAGGGAAGAGTTGTGTGACGTGATAGAATCTAATAGTGGGGCTTGTCCTTAGGGAGGCTCCATATAGATTGTATCCTCCAGGCAATGCGAGTCCATACACCTACACCAGGTAGAGATACACCTTGAAAGAGGGAGCGATGGATCGGGGAGGAGTTGAGGAGGAGATTTAACCTTTTCCTTCTTTTCCATTTGGGATGAGGCGGGGGAATTGTCGGGTTTATATGTTGTTGATGGAGAATGACGCGAACAAAGGTTCATCGCTTGGCATGGATGCCCTTGGAGAATTGTAAACTGGCGAGAAGAAAGCCAAGCGCCAATGAGGATTAAAGCAGCGCGCGGGTCTTGGCGCATAACCTTGGGTTTGGAGGCAAATGCTGGTTGGACTATGACGCATTCGACCAATGCCGTCGCCACGTGAGCGTCGCTTAATGCTGGGCAGAGGCAAATGACTGGCCAGACCCTCGCCGACCCAGCGGAATGCCAAGCGAGTTCCGGGGCGCGGGAGACTTGGCGCCTCTTGGGTTATTTCCCGCCTCGGCTTCTCTGCACGCTTGGTCGGTCTTGGCCAGACGCAACTGGGAGGGGGTCTGAGAGCGAGTCGCCGCTTGAAATGCCCTCCCCATCGCTCTTCGAATTGCCCAAAAATAATCCTACCTCGTTCTCTCTGACTGGTTACTCACCCCCCCCCCACCCCACTACTCTTACTCGAGTCTTATCGTGCTGACCGGCCCTATGCGACTCCCGGCGCCGGTGTTTGAGCCGACCTATCCGATCCTCCGCGTCTGATACATCTTATTGGATCTGTCGCCAGTGAGTTACGCCTGGCGGTCGTTCTCGTATCGACACGAGACATCACCACCGTCGTGTCGCTCGTGCTATGGCGGATGATCCGCCCGGCGCTGGAATCGCTGGTGTCGTGGTCGGAGCGGTGCTGCTCTTTGGCGCCATTAGCTTGGTTCCTATGTGAGTTCATTCGTCGAATCTATGATCCCCGCTGCAGAAGAGAATCTTCCATGCATTTCGATTGGGACTGGTCATCTACCGGTGTTGGCGGTTGGGTCTCTTCGCAGCCTCTACTCTTCATATCTCGACCCAGAGATATCCAAGTTTTTTTTTTACCTCTCCCTGCCAAGTCCCAGCACACGGTTGACCACCCAAGACAGACTGATTATGTGGCATCACCGACGACGAGCGGCGGCGCGAAGAGCCAGTGAAGTGCGCCTGCTTCAGGTCAATGGGTGCATGCGACAGGTGACGGTGGAACGATGGCTGGAAGAGTTGGCCCGATCTGAAAACGGGGAACCACAGCACCAGCGACACTACGCTCAGGAAACCTGGTAAGGTTGCGCATCCCACTGTTGGAGCACGCCGGGGCTCTTGGCCCTGGAGATGCGGGGACAGGGCTGACACTAGTGGCCTTGGCCGTTATCATCCGGCCCCGTTTCATCTGTTTTCACGTTCTCTGATTTGTTTCTCTGCTTTCTTCCAGTTCCATCTGCCTTTCGACGCTCGTCGTGCCGTCGTCTTCGCAAGACACGCTACCGTCTTCTCCAGAACCCGCCTGCATCCTTCCTCCTTCTCGCTCGACCACCGCTCTCCACCGGCACGACACGCTGACCCCTGACGCTGACCCTCCCCTGCTCGAATCAGATCGGACGCGGTACCGGTACCGCGACGGCGATCGCAGCGTCCTCGTTCTCAACCAGTGTAACCACGCTTTCCACGCCTCCTGTCTTGCGTCATGGTTCGCCTATGGCCGCTACAAGTGCCCCATCTGTCAGACGGAGTACTCCCCCACCGACCCCGGGTAAATTCTCTCTCTTTCTCCTCAGACTCTTACTGCTGATCTTCCCGATGGGATTGCGACATGGCTGGTTCCATGGCTTGCTTGGCGCCTTATTCGGGTCTTGGTTTTTTTTTCCTTTTTCCGATACGGTCTGATCTATCTTTCTATCTGATCTCATCGGGTGTGTAATGACCCTGTTTTGGGAAGTCCATGTATGTATGTGCTGGTCCAGTGATGTAAATGATGTATGGTTTAGGACAAATTGGCCAATGATTCTTCTCTTCTTTTTTATTTTATTTTTTTATAAAAAAAAAAAAAAAGAAATTGTAAGCGCAATGACCATCGAATATGTATAGTATATACCCACCTTGACCCCACGGTCACCAGACACACCAGACGCATAAGATTAATCCCCCCAGGAACCCCATAATCGGAGACATACAGATACCTCATGTCAGAACCATGTCCATCGTAAACCTTGCTAACACCCTAAACTCAAAAGCAAGCCTAGACCCATGGATCAGAAAGTCAAACAGGTCAGAGACCATCTGGGTGTTCAAGCTTTGCATCGGATGGAATTATTCCATTCTGGGATGTTTGTTTTACCATGGATGTTAGGGTTTATCTACAGCGTGAGTCTTGTGGATACAGTATGGAATCTGGTTAGAACACTAAATCTTTTATATCAATGTAATCTAACCCAGAGATTAGAACGCGTAGATCTTACTAAAATAGTAAAGCAGTCCTACGATAATAAAAATCAAAAAGGCAAGAAACCCGAATGAAAATCACCTTCCACTCCACTTCCCTAGATCAGCCCCAGCATAACTCCATAATACTAAATAAAAATCCATGAATAACTAAAATGATTAAATTAAACTAACTGGAAGTGTTTACGAGTCGCGTGTAGCGCCAAGCCTGGCTCCCCCATCTCATGTCTGGTTCCCCTCCAGCCTTATCCTATGACAATTTCTGAATCTACTGATATGCATCGCCCGATGAGGGGTTGTTTGGCCCCGCCAAGACTGGCGGTCTTCTGGGCTAGTTCTGGAAGGATTCTGGAAGGTTCCCTTTTCGGCTGTGTTGGTACTTTGGTGTCTTTACTTTTGGGTACTTTGTGTTTATTTGTTCCTAGTGGTGGTGGTGGTTGATCTACCCGGATATTCCCGAATACGTTGATAAGAGAGTGCATGTCTGACTTGCGTGTTTAGACTGGATCAGTGTCCTCGTGTATCATTCTGGCTATCTAGATAGATGTCGTCCGGATGCGGCGGATGTACTAAATATCATCGTCCCTATTCTGGTAAAGCCTTATCCCGTATTAGCCGGGGTTATCTTATCTTTGCGAGTCGGATCGGCTGGATCGGGCCTCCTTCCAGCAATTCCGGGGACAGCTCACATTTGACATCGTGGGCTAGAATTAGATAGATTCCCCCAGGATAACCCCGTTCGCAGATCATGAACGGGACTACGTGGCTTCGGTGATCGATGGATCTTCCCCGACAGTACATATATACTACACGAACTATCTACTTTATATAACTCATTTCCCATTTAGGTTCTATATGATGGATACATATGAAAATCGGGAAATGTCGGAATCGACAAAACAGCCGCGAAGACATCCAGACCGTATCCATCGGACCTGTCATCGGAGAATATTTATCGGTTGGTGGAGCACGCCTGCATGGCATGAACGGGCTCGTGGTGTCCAGGTATTGGCTCTTGGTTCTCGACTGCTCTTTTACTGCTTCTGGGGGGGTTGGTGATACCGTGAGTAGGGTTGGAATTTGAGATATTGGGGGGTTGGGGTTGGTTTGTGGTGGATTGGTAGGATTAGGGTTTGTTTCTGGTCATGAGTTGAAAGAAGTAATAGATTTTGAACTACTATCCTGATATTTTCACTCTTTTGATTGTAGTCTTACGACGCACTTGTGAATTCTGGCTCCGATCTATGTCTTTTTGAATAGAGTGTGATATCCGAGTTGAGTATTGTTGGAGATGGCTTCTCAGACTTATACCACTTTCCTCAAAAACGGGATGAATATGGCCATGTCGTAGAACTTCTTATGGCGCTGTGCCTCTCTGTATCTACCAACACTTTCCCACGTATCAAGAACATCGTCCAATTGAGAACGCTGCCGAAATCAATGATGAATCTGTCGTGGCTTATTTAGGTTGCTGTTTTCACCTCAAATAGCGCAAGTCTGACTTTTGCGCAATCAGCTATTGCTGTTGTCTCTCCTTCTAATGAATACACCGTTATCATGTTATTATTTACTGAGAAGAAGACGCTGGGAATGTGATATTACCGCTAAATCATTACGTTACTCATATCCACAGACCAAACTTATTCATCTTTCTCAAAGTCCTTCCTCACTTGCTCGGCAACTTTATCATCCACCAAAATCTGGCATGCAACAACAGCCATACCAGCGGCACAGGCAAGACTACGCTTATACCCCTCCGGCGATCCAGCACCATTCGTAAACTGCGGTGTATGATTCACTCCCTCGGCGGGGATGGTGAACATTCCATGAAAGCCGGGCACGGCATAGGTAACATTCCCTGCACGACAATGTCAGTACTGATCCCTAAAGCCGAATCAAGCCATTGCAATACGAACCCATATCTGTCGACGCCCCAGCCAGTACTCCCTTCTTCCCCGAGTTATCAAAAACTGTATGGTGCCCCATTGCGCGCATGGCAGTAACGTAATTCTCACAGATAGGCGTATTGGTCTTCAGATCCGCGTACGAGATGCCCCTAGTTCCAGTTAATGATGTCCTTCCGGAGCAGTATCACGAATATCATAGCATACCAATCAAACTCCACCTTGCATCCGGTGGCAGTCGCCGCAGCCTCGAAGCACTTGACCACCTTTTCGGTCAACGGCTTCAGGGTCTTGAGACTGGGTGACCGGATATAATAGTCCACGGACGCCGACATGGGAATCACATTCGGGCGTTCTCCGCCGTGCGCAATGACCCCATGGATCCTCTGCGTCGGTAGGATCTGCTGTCGCAGCAGAGAGATATTGACGTACGCCGCCACCACCGCATCCAGCGCATTTACGCCCTCCCACGGCGCAGCAGCCGCATGCGCCGGCTTGCCAGTAAATGTCACCGTGACCTTGTCGTTCGCGAGAAACCCACCCGGCAGCACCGTCGCCACGCTCAGCAGCTCCGGGTCATCCGGGGCCATCGGCATGGGATGCACCATCAGACAAGCGTCCACGTCCTCGTACGCCCCATTCTCTAGCATTTTCACCTTCCCCCCGCCGGATTCTTCCGCCGGCGTGCCCAGCAGCCGCACCGTGTACCCCGGCCCATCGGGGTACTGCGCCTTCAGGGCCTCGCAGGTCGCGATGAACGCGGCGATCGAGCTGGTCGCGATGAGGTTGTGGCCACACGCGTGTCCGATCCCCGGGAGGGCGTCGTATTCGGCGTTGAAGGCGACGACGCGGCCGCCACTGCCGTACGTGTATGAGATTTCCAGGGCGGTTTCGAGTCCATAGGCGCTGCGACGCACTTGGTAGCCTTCTGATTTGAGGTTTTCGAATAGTGCGCAGATGTGGTCGTGGGCTTTGTATTCTTCGTAGCCTAGTTCGGGGTTTGACCAGATCTGTATACGGTCAGAATGCTGCCGATAAGTAGTAGTAAGATTAATAGAGTAGAATCGAAGCTACTAACTTGATGATTGATACTCTTCAACTCAGCATCATATTTCTCAAGCGCTGCCTGAACGCCATCAATCAAGCGATACTGATACTCTTGAACGTGCATTATGTCTCGACAATAGTTGTACTCAGTTGGAGCGCAAGTTGCAACACGAGGGAACTAGGTGTCTTCAGGTATCTTATATAATTTCCCCGTCTCCACTTGCATGATGAAGCCAACCTTCTGGCAGTTCCAGAGCCATTGCTCGGCAATGCTTCGCTTGTCAAGACCAATCATGTCGTGTTCCAACGAATCCTGCATCTCTTATCGCGGGCAAATTCCATCGTCTCGCTCCAGCGATAGGACGGATCGTCGTTTTCTGACCCACCCGCAACTTCCCCCGCTATTTCTCCTCATGGTGGTTATTTGGGGTCGAATCGCCAGCCGAGGCGATGGTTTGTATTGGGTAAGAGTAGGGTGTTCGGTCGGGTTTTTCTTTTTCTTTTTCTTTTTCTTTTTTTTTTTTTTTTTTGTGGTGGTTGTTTTATAATTGTTTGTTTGTTGGAGGTGAGTAGATGTATATTTAGAGTTGGCATTGAGCTTAACAGTACAACATAAGAGGAAAACCCAGAAGACAACAACCCTTGGATCTAAAGACTATCTTCATGATACAGTACTATCTTAGTATGAAAATACTATATTCTACCCCCAAAAGAAGCGATCTAGGGAGGTATTCTCACAGAAGTTAGCCTTGAGTAACCGAACAGCCCCAAGATCAACCAGTACAACAGGCATAATCAGACAAATATAGTAATCATACACACACTGCACTTAAGCCTTGCAGCAGAATCATTTCGGCGAGTGAATATGTATCATCATGGTACTCCTGCGAACGTATCCAAAGTCCAAAGAAAAGAAGATCTTACCTTGACATGTACAGCTGGTTGAGACTATCACTGGGTATGAGATGAGATGTTCGAGGAACTGGTCAAGGAACTGTTCGAGGAAGACTTCGCCTATTTATTACCAGAAGTGTCAGTCCTCTTTAGGACTAAGTGGAGATACATTCGTTGAGTGGTGTTGAGTCAGACTGAGTCGGATACGAACTGCGTCATCTATTTGGACGCTTTTAAGGTATATTGACTAATCATTAATCGGATAGTGGGTATATGGGGTCGTGTTGTAAGAGTTTGGTGTCTTAAGTAGAGTGTATACATCAACACCAGGTAGAGGGTACGATCGAGATTGGTTTGTAGTCTGGATCTCTATATTGCTAATTGAGTAGTTATGATTGTATGGATTGACTCTATTTGACTTATAGATACTTTGTGCTAGATCTGGAGGGTTACTATAGGAGGTGTATTGTAGATATGAATGGGAATTCTACCAAAGAGCTGGAGTATCTCTAACCCCGATGTCTAGTTGGATAGAACTAAAAGATCGCTGGCCCATTACCCTAAATATGTCGATCATACTCCTTATATAGTTAATAACAATCACTGGCGTATCTCTTTAACCCCCAATAGTCGAGTTGGATATAGCGTTAGGCCGCAATGGAAATCCATGTAACCAAAAGCTGGCTATTCCGGCCCGGGGACTAGATAATCTTTCTTTTTTTTTTACTTTGCCCTGAACCTCTCGATTAAATTAAACATTTTAGTACGTCTAACCAATAGCCCCTTTACATAGAATGTCTAACAGGGCCTTAGTGTTGCTCGCACGAGACAAATATAGGAGATTACATATTAGATAGGGCTATTATTGTTTCGTCTTTCTTTTCATTACTATTAATTAACCATAATACTATATCATCCTGTTCCTGGATTGGTTTTAGCATACCGCCGGTTCCACTTTGAAGTAAACGGTTTGACTCACTTGACTCACATATACGAACTCCGAGTCATACTATATCGGCAGTGGGGAGCTCGTATACACTTTTCTCTAGACGTCTTGGTTGCCCCACTGACCGTTCCACGCAGGTCTGCATATTTACTTATGAACTGACAAGCTTAAATGGACTTTCTCCTGACCAGCATAGCTAGCTTTAAGTTGATATAAGCAGATGGCCCTATCGTCCGTACCCAACGACTATATGCACGAGATGAATCAGTCGCACAACGAACTACCAGCTTGTGGTCCAGGGTTGAAAACACCGTGGATCTTCAGTGTTCTTCCCGTATTTCAGGCATGTCAAATTTGATTTCCGTGTCTAAAATCTACTGTATCGCTACCATAGCTCATAATTGCTTTCCATGGTACATGAACTAAAAGTAATAGAATAGTGTATCAGTGGTAGAACCAAGAGACTTCGTAAAAACTAAGTGTGTTAGCACCAAGGTTCGTTAGTTTACTGTTCCTCCCTTGAGACCAAATCAAGTATCCATCCTGCACCAGTGTCAACCCTAGGAACTCTATGTATCCATAGGAATCACAAATGCTTAGCCAATGGGAATGCCAGATCAGCCCAACATAGAGACGTCATCTGCCTAGGTATGTGATATCCCCAGCTCGGTCCTGTACCTCCGTTGATGATGAGAGGCTGCTTGGAACCCACGGGATCATACCCGGGTAACACGACATTAGTCTTGTGTCAAGTCAATGACCAGCCTGTCACACAGGAGGCGTATACTATCGATTGAGGTTGGGCATCGGCCTCATATACCAGGATGCGGCTATGCAGCCCCATAGAGTGAGCTTTTGTTACGAGGGACGATCATGGTGATGGCCAACCATCTTTCGCTAAATCGCTATCATCCTTGGAGATATTAGACTCTAACGAAGAGAACGCAACTACTGCTTCGCGTTATCTACATGGCCCTGGGGATGGAATCAAGTATCTGGCAGCTAGATTACGCAAGGGATGCTGGGGCTACGGGATGTATTAGCAGAGTTGATTTGTCCAGTCATACAGTAGCGGTATGTTAGGGTAAGTACCTTGTCAAGGACAGTCTACATGCATGCAGTTTTATGCCTTCACTCGATTCAGGCCCGATGGGCGTGCCCTAGTTGGAATCTCAACCTCACACACCCAACCCACCTGTTCTACGGATACCGGCAGCGTGAGGGCGTGCGATGCAGGCAAACACGCTCCCAACTAGGCCAAAAGGTCTGATGATTCTGAATCGCACCTATACAGTATACCGCCGTTACATGTTCTCAGAGAGCAGGATGATACCGACGTGAAATCAAGGAAAAGGAGTTCATATGGAGAATTATCCCTGCTTGATCGGGCAGCATACCGCTAACAACTTGTCAAAAAGCTCCTGCTGCAAGGCATCTGCACTGCCAACTGGCCCCTAGCCAATTGGTCTGGCTTGCGACCAAGTCCTGCAAGTTGCAGAAAAGGAAGAAAGCAATGCGTAATACATCGCTGATTAGTCTCGTTGAGATGGGTCTATCACATTAATCACACACGTATGTGCAGTACCCCGCCTACAAAGCGATCCATGGTAGAAGAAACATTGCAGCTACTCCCCTTAACCCCACTATGCAGAGCTCAATCCTGGAGTATTGATCAACTGACAAGTCACTACTCCTATATATCCCTGTGGTAAAACACAAACTTCATAAGGGGGCGCCATTTCCTCTGTTTACTCCTGCGTCCCTTTCCCAACGACGCTGAATACCGAGATACAAAGCAACAATGTCTGATATCGGCCCCAAACCGCTCGCCATCGTCGGGTTTGCTGCCAAATTCTCCCAGGAGGCAACCAATGTGGAGAATTTCTGGGAATTCCTTCTCAAAGCCCGCCAGTCTATGACGCCGTTTCCGAAGGATAGACTGAATCTCGGTGGTTACTATCATCCAGATCCAGAACGTGCTGGAACGGTTCGTGAGCCCGATTCTACCGCAAGGGAAAGCACAGTCATCCTAATTTTAAAGGCTAGATCCATGCAAAAGGTGCACATTTCCTGGCGGAGGACCCCAATGCCTTTGATGCGGCGTTTTTCAATGTAAACAAAACCGAGGTGGCAAGCCTTGATCCTCAGCAGCGACTGGTAATGGAAAATGTGTATCATGCACTTGAGAATGGTATGTCTGTTTGATATAGGATATGTGTTATAGAATGTTCAGACTAGATACTAATCTTGATGAATTTGTCTAGCTGGTATCCCAATGGATAAGGCTGTGTCGTCTAATACGTCCGTCTTCGTTAGTGGGTTCAACAACGACCACAGGGATCGGTTGAACACAGACCCCGATATCGCTTTGAAGCATCGGCCCACGGGATCGGAAAGCTCCATGATATCTGGGCGAGTGAGCTGGTTCTATGACTTCAGAGGCCCGAGCTTGACGGTCGATACTGCATGCTCGAGCTCAATGGTTGCCTTTCATCTGGCGAACCAAAGCGTCCTAACTGGGGACAGTGATATGGTATGGCTTGCTTGTGTTTAATTATTCACTACCAGTATCTTCTTCCCCATATATATCACTGTCTTTCTTTCGTACTCTCGACATGGAGCCTCACTGATGCGGAACTACTAGGCAATTGTCAGCGGAGTAAACGTCTTCGGTGCCCTGAGCCATATTCAAGGAATGAGCTACTCAGGATTCCTCAGCCCCGACGGAAAGTGTTTCACATTCGACCATCGGGCCAACGGATACTCCAGAGGAGAGGGAGTTGGTACCGTGATCGTCAAGTCCCTCGACAAAGCTCTTGCAGACGGCGACACAATCAGGGCTGTAGTTCGCGCCACGGCCTTGAACCACGATGGCCGCACCCCCGGTCTAACGTATCCCAGTGGTGATGCCCAAGAGCGCCTCATCAGGGATATATACGCATCTGCCAGGTTGGACCCTGCCGAGACTCTCTACGTCGAGTCCCACGGCACCGGTACAACTGCCGGCGACCCCATTGAAGTACGCTCCATCGCTCGAGCTTTTGATTCCGTTGACCGCACGCAGCCGATCTATGTTGGAGCGGTGAAACCCAACATTGGCCATGTTGAAGGTGGATCGGGGATATCGGGGATAATCAAAGCAATCTTGATCCTTGAGTCTGGGGTTATTCCGCCGAATGTTAACTTCGAGAAGGTTAACCCGCTCATTCATATGGATGAGTGGAACGTTCGTTTTCCAACGGAGGTTATGCCTTGGCCTGCGTCGGGCCCTCGACGTGTGTCGGTAAATTGCTTCGGGTTGAGTGGGACCAACGCTCATTGCATTCTGGATGATGCATACCATTTTCTCCAGAGTCGGGCCCTAATTGGGAACCATAACACGCGGCCAGCTACGCCTTCAACTGAGGAGGTCACTCGGTTGGTAAATTCACG